CTTTGCAGACACCTTCTCTGAGGCCTCCACAATATGGTTAAGGCAGAAAGGTTCAGCATAATAATAATAAAAAAAAAAAGTTTTAGTGCTGTTTTGCACATGAGATAAAGCAGCAACAGAAGAGCGCAAAATCAATTTGTTTGTTTCCCTTTGCAGGTCATCTTTAAAAATGGTATCTTGTCACCTAGATTAGCACAGGAAAAGAAAAAGAAAACTATCTGATCTAGCTGCGCTGTGGGGATGGGGTGGTAAAATTCCACTTCTTATTCATGATGGGTTAATTTGAATGAGAAAAGGAAGCAGGATGAATGGCCCTCATGATGGTCTTGTGAGAATAAGGGACAGACAGAGTGGAGCCCTTGTGGGGTTTTACCAATTAGAAGCTCACAGGGTAAAGGACTCGTATTGCATAAAAATATTAACTTGAAAGACACTATTTCACTTGTCTGCTGCAACCACATCATACATATTAAGCTGGAATTACGTTTATAACTGAACCGATGTCATTTTTATTAGTTACTTCACAATTGCATAGTTTGTTCTGTTTCAAAGGCATTACAGTTTATTAACTTAATTTTGTCCTGTAGTAACCAAACAGTTACAGAACGAAGACGTAGAGAAGGAAACAAAAAGCTTTTTCACTCCAAAGCTCCTGATGTGCGTTGTGCAGAGTTACACAATCTCACAAATCACTGATTATAAAATGGACGTTTGTTGAATGCATTATATGCTAGCCCAGTATGAGACATTCAAAAAGCTAACACTTGGCCACAGGAACAGACTGGATGACCTCAAACCATTCCCTGCGTGTGCTATGCTGTAAAGGATACCAGCCATAACTTGGTGATAGCAGTAGCACCTAGATTAATTGTGGATCAGGACCTCATTGAGCTAGGTGCTCTGCTAACACAGAACAAAAAATCCCAACTCCAAAGAACTTCCAGGCTAAGAATGGTCCAGGATTTTCTTATGACATCAGGAAGCCACTCAAAATATGTGGAACTGTTTTGAGAATGTATGCCCGAATACTGAACATGCATCAAGTTGGCCATAAATTAAAAATTGACAGAAAAAATTGATGAGACAAATAATTAGCAACTTCTCCTCATTTCTTGTAGAGAAAAATCTCTGCTTTGGCTCCCTAGCTGACTGCAGCATAAAAAGGAGGATTTTAACAGAAGTGCCATGGTTATGTTGGTAAGGACTGGCTCTAACCATACTCAACAGCTACAGTGCAGTCAAGCTGCATCACCCTGCAGTGGAGACACCATCAGCAATTGGAAAGAGGTGAAAGCAAAACAACAGGGAGCCTACCAAAAAGCTTGGTTCTAAGACCGAATCCAGCAGTCACCAATTTTAAATTTGGGTTTCCTTGTTGCATAGAGTGCTCGTATTGCTCTCACTGCCTCTTTATTGCCATATATTTTCACTGTTTTAGGACTTGGATAGGTTTTCATTGGAATATTGCCCTCTATTTCAAATGGGAACATGAATGAGACCTAAATGAATATGTGGTTTTAGTAAACTTGGAGAATTAATATAAAATGCAATCCACCAGAGTTCTTCAGCGAGGTCAAGGTTGGTGTATGAGCTTCTGTACAAAATAGCAATAGCAAATAATGCTATCTGATCCTTTGCTTTCATAAGCATAGTTGTCTTTTAAGTCTTATTTTAAAATACATCCACTAAGGAGAAGTCATCACCTCACTATTTCCTTCTTAAGGTAGATAAGCAGGAAAATGTTAAATCCAAATAGCTAAGGACCTGTGTTAGCAATATAAATATCACAGATTTTTCAGGTACCCTCATAATTAATATTGTTTATTCAAGTCTCAAATATCTGCTAAAATGCAGAATGATTCATGGAAATAGACAGCACATGCACACATGCACACACACACACACGTGTAAAATGTGGAGTTGCACAGCTTTGCCAGTTCTTAAGGTTACCTTTCACCCACAATGTTGTTCCACTACTTCCAAACATACAAACTGTAGAAAGTACCAGCCTTTTTCAGGAACATCCAATAATTTTAAACAACTGAAATATTTGTTTGAACTGTTTTTAACAAATTTGTGTTTTCAACAAACTTATTGCTCCTATTAAAAAAGCATCTGCTTTTAAATGGCAAAGGCCCCCAAACTGAGTTTTCCTTTTTTAGCCTAAAATGAAAATTGTCCATTCAGAAATGCTACCACGCCAAGTTATGGGAGTTGTAGTTCCAGTGCCTTCCCCATGATCCAGGGTTCCCCAGAAACACTACATTTCACAGGATGCACTGCAGTCCACGACTCCCATGATTCAGTAAATTAAGTAGGAAAAAGAGAGAAGTTAGGGCAGAGCTGCACTTTATAGACAAACTAATTCAAAGATGCATACACTTTTGCAAGCAACAGGTTACTTTGTCAGATGAGATCATGATAAACTATAGGTGGCATATGTGGACAGTGGCCTCAGTGTGATGTAGAGATAGCCAACTAGCTCATGTACCCTGCTTCTTGGCAGAGTAAATTAGTTCACACTGGGTATGTGTACATGAGACTTTACTGTGGAGTTGAATAATTAGCTTTGCAGTAAAATGTCACTGTCAACAAGTGCGATGCTATTAGGGTGGAGTATGCTAATTAACTCTGCCATAGGATAGTACTATTAGACACAAGTACCATCCTGTGGCACCATTATTTACTCTGCTGCAATGCATGAGTAGATGCTGAAGGGGCTGGCTGGGGTATGAGGATGTCTCAGTGTGAAGGCTGCCTGCCAGCCAGCCCCTCTGCAGCATGTTGACCCAGGTCAGAACTGCACCAGAGTTTATTCAGCCACAGTAATTGCAAGTGTATATGCACTCACTGGGTGTGTCTGCAGGGCTGACTAATTAGCTCTGCAGTAAAGCATCACAGTTTGCCAGGGCTGATCTACAATTTTGGGGGGCCTCCTGCAAGAAATAGTTTTGAGGCCCCTGCCCCGAAGAAGGTGGTGGCAGGGGAGGGGGGGGGGGGGCAAGCGGCTGGACGCAGGGAGCCCCTTAGCTGCAGGGCCCCCTATAGCCGCAGGTTTCACAGTATAAGACAGGCTGGCCATGCAGTCTACATGTGCATCAGTATTAAGGTGCAGTAAATTAATTAACTCTGCCATAACGGAGTAGTTACATGAGCCACAACGCACATGTAGGCTGTGACAGGAGAGGGCTGGAACACAAGGGTGGTACAGTGCAGGGGCTGCCTGCCAGCTAGCCCGATACTAGCACCCTTGTGTCCCAGCCAGCCCCCTGCCACCCAACACTGTCAGCCGGAGCCTGGGGCTGATTCCCCAGGTCAGCTACTCCACCCTGGCTTGAATTGTTGTGGTCCCAGGTACACAAGTAAACACTGCACCCAGAAAAAAAATTGTCCAGCTTAATAGCACATGGAGATGTACCCACTGTGCTCTATACTGCTCCCACTAAACTGATACAGGGGCCTCAGCGAGCTATTTTACAGTTACCTCAGACATGTCTATACTAACACTACATCTACTCTGTGACTGTAGGTAGACAGACATTGAATCAACTTTTTTGTATTATTAAACAGGGTTTTTTTGTAAAAAATATTGTAGGGGGGAGGATTGGGAAATACCAATGAATGTCTTTTTTGTTATTATTTTTGTCAAAACTTCTCATGGAGAAAAACAACCCAACTCTGGTGCCCAATACATGCAAAGCAACCAATCGGTATGGCATGACACTATGACCTCACTGTTACAGACATAGCTCTGTTCCCACAGGCTAAACATGAGTTTGAGAATTGAGAGATCTTGTATTACTAGCTCTGTCTCTGACTCACTATGGCCTTGAGAAATCACTCAGCTTCTCTATGCTTCAGTTATTCTGCCTACAAACTGGAGATAAATGTTGTTTACCTGCTTTTGCAAAATGCTTTGGAAGATATGAATGAAAAGTACTTGGATACTATTGTAATGAAACCTATATACCTAGCTAGAATCCACAGACATGCCAAGTGTTATTACTGCTTCTACCGCCTTTAAGAACAGTACTTCTAAGGATGATGTCATATTAGATATGGCAGTGGGTCAAAGATGAGTAAAATAAATGCCAGTAAAATATTAGGATTGGCAAAAAATTCAAGAACTTCATGCTGGCAAGAGTAAAATGCTGCTGACTTGCAGATGGCAACAAAATGCTAGAGCCAAAGCTCTGTGAGCCAGCACCCACTGTTCACCCTGGGTAATTTAGAAACATTCATAACATTCTTAGTTTAGTATTTATTCCATCCATGATTTGGTTCAGAAGCCTTTAAAGTCAACCCAATACAATAAAGGATATTTTCCAGCTCATATTTTGCAACAAAGAAAAGAATAGTGGAATACATTTTTCCCAAACCATTTAACATTCTCCAGGGAGATATGATTTCCTTTCAAAGTGAACTACATTTCAATCCACAGGACATTTTTATTATCCATTTTGAACGAAGTAATTGACTCTTTTGGAAGCAGCTGCCTCATTGTCTCAACATCAATTAGCCACTGAAATATTGTAAGGTAAAGTGAGAACCTGACAAGACATAGGTGAATTCCCTCTAGTCACTTTAAATAAAATCCTCTTGCTTTACTCAATTACTTGAGTCTACCAAAACACAGTATCAATATATTTTAATGTGTAACAACCCAGTGGCTATATCAGATTCCAGGAAGTACAGAAATATATCTATGTGCTAATGAGATGCACAAAATTTCTATCCTGGGTAGATACATATTGAAACACTACACACAGCTGACAGGAAACATGCTGTACATTATGTTTGTGCAAGCATCTGCCAACAGTTATGGTAATTTTCATCAGACAACAAATGGGATGAGGCCTTTATCCAAATGGAGCACCCTTAAGTCTCACTGAAGCTCATAGACAGAGGATGGCCAGTTCATTAAGTCTGAAAATATTCCCTAGTATAGTTCTTGCAGCATTTTGGACCATCACTGAAGAGTATCCTGCTGATGTTGTAGGGATGGATGGGGGTGGGCTTGGGTTAGATGACATCAACTGTGATGACAGCACAGGTGAACAGATGGGAGGTAAAGTCTTTGTTGTACAGGAGCCAGATACACTGGAGGTGTTTTTTGTCACTGGACCACTGCAAAGCATCCATCACCACATGCCAGAGAATCTGACCCACGAAGTTTGGTGTGCCCTAATTTAGATTCCTCCTGTGTCCCGTTCCAAGAGGAGAATCTACAGGACAGTAGTTTGGAAAAGTTTGCCATTAACAACTAGCTAGGCTATTACCTGATGCTTTTCTATTCATTCCTTTTTGTAAGAGAAAAATTAATAGCCCATGATCCTCTGTGCAAAACCAATGTAATCAACGTCAGGTTTGAGAGATTAAACTGCCTTCTTATCAAGAAAGGCCAGGAAAAATCTATTTACAAACTTGATAAAAATTTCAACAACAAAAGTGGTACACTTGTTATAAAGATTGGAAGGAAGGGGGCATAGATTAATCATTACTGCAAATGTGACTGAACTGCCAGTATTCTTATGATGTGACATGATCATTACAGAATGAGTACTGCAGAATAACATCTGACTAGTAGCTTAACATACAGTAGCATTTCAGTACTCTATTCAAAGGAGGAGGGGAGAGGGAAAAAACAAACACGCAAAGTTTCACAAAGTAAATGATGACCTTTAAATTAAAACAATATGAGCATGGTTTCAGATGCACTGGATACCCTGCCTTATTTGAACCCAAATCACTTGAATGTCCTACACTGCATCAGCCAATAGGAAAACAGGGATGTAATAGGCATGAGGAAAAATGTGGGGGACCACAGCCAGGGTCTGCCAGCCTCTGCTGCTCACCCTCTCACAGGCTGAGCACCCCCTGACAGGGGCTGCTGCGCCCTGGTCACACAGGCCCCAGCTGGAGCTCCATCAGGGAGAGAGGGGGGCCATGCCAGGCCAGCACCTGGCCACATGCCTGCCCCTGCTGCTGCCGTGGCAGGGGGGGAGTGGAAATCCTGACAGGGGCAGCAGTCCCAATGGTGTCCCAGGGAGCACAAACCACTTCCTGGTGTGGGGTGCTGCAGGCGGGACTAAGTTGGGCAGAGCTGACATAGCCTGTGTAGGGTGGATGGCGGCAGCAGGGCTGGCTACAGGGGCTAAAGCTAATAGTGGGGTGGCCATAGCCCCTCAAACCCCCCTAGAGCTGGCACCACTTAGCCCCCCATAGCCACCCCTGCCACTGCCACTCAGTCTGGCTTAGCCCCATAGCCCCAGCTATTGGCAAGGCAGGCAGATGGTGGGGCCAAGCTAGGCCAGGGGGGCAAGGCCCTCCCCATCTTGCTGCAGCTCAGGTTGGGGCCGTGAGAGCTGTGCACCCAATTTGCTCCAACTCCCCACACCCAGGCTGGGCCCAGCTAGGAAGGGCTCTGCCCCCACAGCCTGGCCTAGCCTGGCCTGACCCTCACCCGGGGCTGCAGCTGGGGCTGGACCTGTGGGGCTGAGCCAGGCTGGCCCATTGGTGCTGCCAAGGGCAGGTGTGGAGGGGCCGAGTCATGGGGACAGGGCCCTTTTCAGCTGGCTGAGGAACGGGCTGGGGCTATGGGAGCTGTGTGCCCGGTTCACTCCCAGCTCCCTATGCCACAGGGTGGCAGGGGGCTCTGTGCGGCACTTCTTCAGTGGCTCCATGACAGGCAGGTCTGGTCTGGATGCAACGAGCCAGGACCAATCTGGCCACACAGCTCCCGCGGGTCCAGCCCAAGCCACATCCAGCTGGGAAGGGCCCTGTCCCTGCAGCCCAGCTTGGCCCAATCCAGTCATACCTCTGGGGCTAGGGCTGCGGGGCTGAGCCATGCTGGCCCATGGGCACTGTTGAGGGTAGGCATGCAGGGGGTCAGGGCTCTTCCCAGCTGGCAGCGGCTCAGGCTGGGGCCACAGGAGCTATTCACCTGCAATACTCCCAGCTCCCTGCGCCCAGGCCAGAGCCAGGCTGTCAGGGGGCCACTGCAGCGGCCAGTGCTGTCCCTATTCTCCTCCTCCCCCACCACGGGCTGGGGGAGTGTGGTCTGCGTGGCGCTGCCTCAGTGGCTCTGTGACAGTTGGGCCTGCCCTGACGGTCGGGAGCCGGGAGCGATCCAGGCACACAGCTCCCATGGCCCCAGGCCAAGCCACAGCTGGCTGGGAAGGGCCCTGCCCCTGTGGCCCGGCCTAGCTCGGCCCCTCTGCACCCACCCTCCGAGTGCCCGTGACCCAGCCTGGCTGAGCCCTGCAGCCTCAGCCCCAGGCAAAGCAGGCGGATGATCGGGCCAGGCCAGGCTGGGCCAGGCCCTGGGGGCAGGGCCCTTCCCAGCCAGAGGTGGGGCTCAGGCTGGGGCCACAGGAGCTGTGCACCCCAATTGCTCCTGGCTCCCATGCCCAGGTCAGGTCAGGCTGCCATGGAGGGCTCTACCCCTCCTTCTCCTCTCCTGCCACACGGCTGGGGGGAGCTGTGTGTGGCACTACCTCAGGGCTCAGGTCTGGAGGAGCACAGCACTGGGCCCTCTGTAGGGGTGAAAACTGGCCGCTGTGGGGTAGGTGGGGGAAACTCTGTGTTCCTGGCTCCCTGCGCCGAAGCCAGGCTGGGCTGTCAGGAAGCCGCTGCGGTAGGCAGGGCTCTTCCCTTCCTCCTCCTCCCCCACTGTGGGGCAGAAGGAGAGAGGGGTCTGACCACGCCTCCATTCTCACTGCTTGACCCTTCGGTACCAGGCGAGGGCTGGGGTCTGACTACACTCCCTCCCCTCCGCTCCAAATAGTTTGGCAAAGGCTGCTTCCCCCTCCCCATCCTGACACAACCTGCTGGGGTCCCTGCAGCCCAGGGTGGGGGTTTAAGCCCATCACAATCATACTCAGGGCTGCCAGGGCCTGGCCATGCCCCCTCTCTCAGCTTAGCTTCCTCTAGCCACTGTGGCAGGGAAGGGAGGGCTCACTCTAGTGCCCTCTGGCTTCTGGCCTGATCCACTGCAAATATATGCCTGCATTTCCGGAAGCAAAAGTGGATGTCTATTCACTTGCTAATTTGTTCAATCTACGCGGTTTAGAGTAACCTGAAAAGATTGAATCAATATTGGCGTGGGCTGTTTGAATGTCTGCCCCTAGCCAGGAAGTTCTGAACTACCATGTAATATGGGTTCAGGTTGCAGTTGCTTCCTAGTAGGTATGTACGCTGGGTTCCTTCATTGAGAGACTGGCATGCACAGTTGCAAATGCTTACATCATGCAAAGTCTAACCTGCAAGACCGTTCATGCACTGAACCAGAGAGTTAAATATTGCAAAGGGCTGACAACAACATAGCTTCTATACATTCTCTTAAAGGACACAAATTTCAATAAATCAAGCAAATATGCCCTCTTTTATCCAACTATTCCCATCTCAACCCTACATCTACCAAGTGTCTCAAATACCACAGCCATGGGTACATCTAGAAGGCTCAAAGGTGATAGAATGAGTCTCCATTTGTTGATTTTCTACTACTGCTGACTTAGTCAAGAATGGGACAGGGTGCTCTTTCTCCACCTTAGATAATAATGGTTAATGAGACTTTGATCTTCTTCCCCATTATCTTTATAGTCTGTCTGTCTCTAGCTGTCCAAAGTACCATATAAGACAAAAGCCTCATGTTTCAATGAGTATTTTCACCATCTAATCTCATTGCAGAGCCTGTTTATTTTGTAAACAATTATTTCATTCCATGATCCTTCAAGCATGATCTGATTTGTTTTTATAATGTGTGCTTGATATAAAAACAGTAAAGCTCCTGAATGGTTAACTTGAAATCAGAGCATCTCTGATCTTTTATAAATAATGCTCAGCATCTTTTTGGATGAAAATCAAAGTCTCACATCTATTTTCTGGAGTGTTCCCAACCCCCCTACTTTTTGCTTCCACCTCTGCAATCTTCCTGTAGACATATCTAATATGCCTTTCAACCAATGGCCAGCAGCTCTCCTGGACTGCTGGAAAGATGATAGTTTGTTCTAAATCGATTTGGGCCTAAAAAATTGAACTAAAGGAGATGCTGAATGAACATCAGACATCACAATGCGATTCACATACTGCCTGCAAATTCTCCATAAGGCCATGACCATGTATAGTTAGTCCTTTCCTTACCATTGCTAGAATGAACCTCATAATCTGAGTAACAATTGAGATGACACAGCTTTTTTCAGTTTACACTGTAAAAGAGGTCTTTAGGCAGTGGCATTTGTCTCAAAACTTCTGGTTGCATATCACAACAGCACAGGGAATGATATCAGTAAAAAGATTAGCCTGAAAGAAAAAGCTCTGTGACAAGGTCCACAGTTTTCAAAGCCATGAGAAAAGTGAAATTATATATTAAATAAGTCAGCTAGTAACAATGTAGTGTTTGAAGCCATGTCTTTATAGCTCCAGTAGAGAACAGACTAGTACAGGGGTGGCCACCCTGTGGCACGGTTGTGTGCAAGACTCATGGCAGATGGCCTGGGGGAGGGGTGAACAGGTCACACAGCAGCAGATAGGGCAGGAAACAGAAAACAAAGCAGCAGATGGGGCAGGAAGCATGGGGCAGGAAGCAGAAAGCACAGCAGAAAGTAGAATATCTCATCACATAAGGGAAGGGGATGAGAGTGGCACTGTGGGCAGGACACCCAGGGCAGGTGAAGGGCTAATCGGTGGCATACCTGCCAAAAAGGTTGGCCCCCACTGCCCTAGCAGATATTTCCTAACAAAAGGCATTAAATCTGAGTCGGGGAAATTCTGGTTCCCTTGAAGCCAACAGGAGTTTTGCCATTGACTCTACTGGAGCTAGAATTTCACACTTAATATCCACTGTATTTTAAAAGTATTTAAAAATAAATTGAGCATTTACTCTTCAGTAGGCCAAGCCTGAAATAAAAACCTGTGCAGGACAGAAGGCTGCCCATGGAAGGTTTTCTAGCAGAGTGAGAATGCTGCATCTCCTGGTGCCATTGCTACCAGTGTAATTACAGCATGTTGGAGCAGCCTCACTGCACATGTATAGGTAAGTGCCCCAGGTTTCTGGATGAGAGTTGGGCATAAACACAACAGAAAATTTTAATGAAACAGTGTTTTTATATCCATAACATTTATGAATCCTACAGCTAGGCTGTTCAGATTATTATTATGGCAGTAACAGCCATAGTAGCCCCAATCAGGGCCCAGGGCCCCACTGTAACAGTACTATGCAAACACA